CAGGGACAGGTTAAAAATGTCCAAGAAAACTCCTGCCAGTTGGTCAGCACATAGCTTCAAAACCCAGCCTGACACCCTGTCTGGTCCTGCAGCTTTGTTGGTGTTGATCCTCCTCAGGGTGGAGCTCACCTGGTGTAGCGGGAGGATGAGAGGCTGGTGCAGTTCCTCAAGCTGCCAGTTCCTCTGGCAGCAGAGGAACATCTGCTGCCAGGTTGTATTGAAGCATGCAAAATAACTTCAGTGTCAGGGAGGGGGGGATCATGGCTGACCGGCTGGGTGTTGACCCTCGTGTATGGCCTTCTTTTAGAGGTGACGCTGTACCGTCCAACCATGGTTTCTGGTTTGGAGAAACCCTGATGCTTTGTAGGTAGGACAGCATCAGTAGAGAACTGCACATAGTCCAGAACAGCTGATTTATAAGCCTCCAGGTCTGAGCCCTCTTTGAACACCCCCCAGTCAGTATGCTCGAAACAATCCTGTAATGCTGAAGAAGCCTCCTCCGTCCACACCTTAACTGTTTTGGTGACTGGTTTTGTCCTGCAGATCAGAGGTTTATATGTTGGGATCAGTTCCACAGAGATGTGATCTGACATGCCCAGGTGTGGAGCTGCTCTCCTGTATGCTCCCGGGATGTTGCAATAAACTTGATCCAGGATGTTATTGTCCCTGGTTGGAAAATTGATGAATCTGTAGAATTTGGGAAACACTGCTTTAAGTTCCACGGTTAAAGTCTCCAGCCACAATCACAGCCGCTTCTGGGTTTGTGTTCATCTGCCTGTTGATCAGGCAGTACAGCTCCTCCTGCGCTACCCCTCTTTTGTTTACGCTGTTGCCTCCGTCTCCTAGGCCACAAAGGGGGGATGGTGAGAGCTGTAGTGGTCCGGTGTAACTGGTGGAATAATGTCCGGCTTCGTGGATGCGTAAAGTTCGTATTACTTCCCAATAATAAGTAGTTCAGCTCTTCCATACTGGATGGTGGCTTCAGAAAACTGTGGTGACAACAAAAACATGAACAAAGATGCGAATAAAAAAACAAAAAGCCGAGAGCCCCGAGCCGCTGCATGCATACGCGCCGCCATGTTGGGTAACCCCATTTACTGTATGTATAGATGTTGAGTTTTGGAGTATACATAGGTCCCACATCCTCCGTATGTAACCCCTCTCGTTGGGATTACTTGTATAGTCGCACTGTAAATGCAAATGCAATGTAAATAAAACCTTTAAATTCCGAGGTCACAACAAAACTGCTGTTCTGTGATTGTGTTAAAGAAATTGACCAAAAAATTTGTAAGACATTGTCATTTTGCTCACAGATATCTTGGAGAGGAGGAAGACTGGAGTGTCTCAAAGGAGTCTCGGTCTCAGGTGTTACTGGCTAAACTGCAGCAGAAGGCAAAAGAGAAGCAGAGACAGAGTTTGACAGAACAGAGGACAGATCTGTCTGATGAGCAGACAGTACAGCAGGATGTTAAAAAGAAAAGAAAAGTTGACCAGAGCAGCAGCCAAGAGCCTCCACACCACAAGAAGTGGAAATCAGATGAAGTGCCTTTGTGTGGTTTGGACTCAGATAAACATAATGAACCTGTTGAGGAATCAACCAAGAAGAAAAAAGGTGCAAATAAGAAGGAGAAGAAGAGGAAGGATCAGACAGGTATGGGCTTGTTTATTATTCATTTAACAGTAGTTTCCAGCTCACTGGGCATGCTGCAAGGACCACTTGTAAAAACAGGTTTCTTCTCATGTGGTAAGCACAAATGACTTGGGAGAATTTGGGGCCTTCATAAAACTTCGTTAGAATTTTCTCTGAACAAAATTCTTGAGTGGTGGACTTGAAATATGACTCTGAAACTGTGACATCACCTACTGTCAGCTCTAATGTTATCCTGTCTAATGTGACTGACTGCCTTCCATCATGGAGTGCTTTGCTTTAGAAAGCCACTTTTAGTTTCTAAGATCACATTAGCCCATTCCATCTTTTTGTCTGTGACTGTCCCAGTACTGCACTGCTCTGACTACTGGTTGACAGGTTTGGGTGAATCATAGTTGCAATACTTGTATGAACAAACCTCATATATAATGAAGTAAGAAAACATTTAGAACAAGAGTATGAAACTGCTGACATCAGTTTTGTGTCCAGCAGGCAGCTGGTTCCAGTGAAAAAGCTTTGTTTACTTCCTACACAGCACCAAACAGCAAACAGAGAAACGTCAAGTCTGCTGCATGTGTGTACTGCATGCCAGTAAAAACAAATCAGTGCAGTTTTAACATTTATTATAGTTCAGTGTAATTTATTATATTGAACAGAGGCATAGTTTTTAAAAATAAAACAGAAATACAACAAAATTGTTATAAAGATATGAAGAATAATCCATATACTAAAAGATACTTATAGTTTTGTGTTAATATAAACAGAACAGTAACTTAAAAAGTAATTATAAGTAGTTCAAGTTTAATTTTCAGCTGTAAAATGTCCAAGTCAGTACATATTTTGGTCACAGTACTTTAGTAACAAAATTTAGGATATTTATGAACATTTTTGTTTTAACAAATCAACAGATCTTTTTAAAGCTCTCACATAGGGGGTATTGGTCTGAAAAGTCCAGCATTTGTAGGTGTACCATGTGGACAAGCTTGTCCTCATACTTGTGGCCATGCGGTGTTCTGTGCCTAAAAAGGTCTCACTCTGTATCTTGAGAAAACCACCCTGCAGCTTTGGACTGCAGTTTTTCCTAGGGATGAATTTTGTGCTAGTCATCTAAAAGGAATGAATGATTTAATCTACTAGCCTTTAAAGTAGATTGTAATCATGTTCACTGAAGTAGTCTGGGTATGACCTGATATAAACTGTAATGTCTCCTCTGTAATACACAATAGAAAGTCACTTTCGGCTTTTCCCATTTAGGGGTCGCCACAGTGAATCGTCACAATGATGACTCACATGTTGGCACATGTTTTACGCTAGATCCCCCTTCCTGATGCAACCCTGACTCGAACCTGGGCCACAGTGGCGAGAGCGCTGCGCCTTAACCACTAGCCTACCAGGGACACTGTAACACACATAATACCTGCATAAATAAAAATACGTCTCAGACGATTTGCTTTGTATTTTTTTGGATTGTAGGCAGTTCAGTTCAAGATCTTTCAGATGCTCCTGTCTTTAGAAGAGATGGACCACAGGAGACAGGAGGAGAAGAAGAGACAGAGAAAGACAATGACACACAAAAACAAACCTCAGGAAAGACTTCTGCTCCGACAGGATTCACTGTTTTAGGTGGATTTGAGAACAAACCAGTCCAAAAGGTGCAGTGATTTATATATTTATTTTTTGACAGTGTTAAAGGAGTCATTAAATCATTACTGTTCCTCCTGTGGGGACCTTGCATATCATTAGTGTTTATTCCTGTGTTCACAGGTACACAGAGTACTGCCTCAGTGGCTCGCTCAGCCCAGTGTGATTCACAGAGACATTAAAAGCAACCTGGTCCCCTTCTTTGCCGTCCCAGGGCTCCATCCTCAGCTTGTCAAAAATCTACAAAATAACGGAATTAAACAATTCTTTCCAGGTAAATCTTTCCAGGATGAATTTACTGTATGTTTATTGCAGCAGTAGTTCTAAATCATTGAGAATAGGCCTATGTTATTTCACTTAATAGTGATGTTAGTTTGCATATGTCCCATAAGAGACACCAGTGTTGTTTAGTTCATGAGTTTGTTAAAATGAATCCTTATCACAGATATCCATGGTGTCTCCTGAGATAGGTGCCTATGTTGTGTGAGTGGGTGTAGGCTTGGGCTGTGAATGGAGGTTGTGATGTGAAAAGGTTTACTGAGCATATGCTTGGAAGATAAAAGTTGTGACTAGTTACTGTGACCTTTTCCACAGTTCAAGCCGAGGTTATTCCAGCCATCTTGGAGAGCGCACAGCAGGGGCTGCTGATTGGACGTGGTGGCTACAAGCCGAGAGATATCTGTGTGTCTGCACCAACAGGCAGTGGCAAGACCCTTGCTTTTGTCATACCTGTCATACACGTGAGTTGCAGGCACACCTGAAAGTGTATGGTTGAAGAAGCTGGAATATGGAGAAAGACTCTTCCATATCAGTGACAGGTGTTTCCACCATCAGGTGCTGATGGAGCGGGTGGTGCGTGAAGTCCGGGCTTTGGCTGTGTTGCCAACCAAAGAGCTGGCTCAGCAGGTGAGAATCTTTCAGAACAATTCAGCCATGTTTGTTCTAGATTAAAAAGGCTCAGCTGACACATTCTCCTGAACAGGTTTGCAAAGTGTTCACATCATACACTGAGGGAACTAGTTTGAAAGTGGTGATGCTGGCTGGTCAGAAGTCCTTTGCTGCAGAGCAGGCTTCACTGTCAGAACACAGGTGAGTACAAAAACTGAAGTTTGGCTTCAGAAGCAAGGAAAATGCTTTAGCAACACTTAATGAGATACAGGGGTTTTTGAGTTTAGCATCAGTACATTTTATTTTGTAAGTTATTTAGTGCCAGATTTTCAAATGTATTCTTATATTTTAAAATGAGTTTGCTTCAGTGTTGGAATGTATCAAACTACATTTGCACATTTATTTGAGGTACCTGGACCATTTTTCAGTGCGTAATATTAATGTAATGCCTTTGGAGATTTTTTTGTGCCTTTCTCCTGACTGATACCTTCACCAATGAGATCCCTTTCATACTTTGTAAGCTCTTTGTGGACTATGGCTTTTGCTGTGAGAGGCACCCGAGTAAATATCAGAAAAATCTTCCTAGAACTGCTACTGCTGAACTTTATATGGGCTTGATCAAGTCACTTTAATAGCAAGTGCATACTGACTACTATTTAACATCAGTTTGAATGTGACAGTTTAATTGTGAAAACAT